CCAGAGGGAGGGATAGCTTAGTGGGTTGAGCATTGGCCTGCTAAACCTAGGGTTTTGAGTTCAATCCTTGAGGGGGCCATTCTGTGTGACAGTTCTTTTGTTTCTCCTTGATGTAAAGCCACCCCCTTTGTTGATTTTAATTCCGTGTAAGACAACCCTGTAAGCCCTGTCGTCAGTCGCCCCTCCCTCCGTCAGAGCAACGGCAGACAATTGTTCCGCGCCTTTTTTCTGTGCAGACGCCATACCACGGCAAGCGTGGAGCCCGCTCAGATCACTTTGGCAATTAGGAGCACATTAAACACCACGCGCATTATCCAGCAGTATATGCAGCACCAGAACCTGGCAAAGCGAAACCGGGCAAGTAGGCAATGTCACCACGGTGACGAGAGTGATGAGGACATGGACACAGATTTCTCTGAAAGCATGGGCCCTGGCAATGCGGGCATTATGGTGCTAATGGGGCAGGTTCATGCAGTGGAATGCCAATTCTGGGCCCGGGAAACAAGCACAGACTGGTGGGACCGCACAGTGTTGCAGGTCTGGGACAATTCCCAGTGGTTGCGAAACTTTCGCATGCGTAAGGGCACTTTCATGGAACTTTGTGACTTGCTTTCCCCTGCCCTGAAGCGCATGAATGCCAAGATGAGAGCAGCCCTCACAGTTGTGAAGCGAGTGGCAATAGCCCTGTGGAAGCTTGCAACGCCATACAGCTACTGGTCAGTTGGGAATCAATTTGGAGTGGGCAAATCTACTATGGGGGCTGCTGTGATGGAAGTAGCCCACGCAATCAAAGATCTGCTGATATCAAAGGTAGTGACCCTGGGAAATGTGCAGGTCATAGTGGATGGCTTTGCTTGCAATGGGATTCCCTAACTGTGGTGGGGCCATAGACGGAACCCATATCCCTATCTTGGCACCGGAGCACCAAGCCAGCGGGTACGTAAACCGCAAGGTGTACTTTTCAATAGTGCTGCGAGCACTGGTGGATCACAAGGGACATTTCACCAACATCAATGTGGGATGGCCGGGAAAGGTACATGACGCTCGCATCTTCAGGAACTCCGGTCTGTTTCAAAAGCTGCAGGAAGGGACTTTATTCCCAGACCAGAAAATAACCATTGGGGATGTTGAAATGCCTTTAGTTATCCTTTGGGGACCCAGCCTACCCCTTAATGCCGTGGCTCATGAAGCCATACACAGGCAGCCTGGACAGTAGTCAGGAGCTGTTCAGCTATAGGCTGAGCAAGTGCAGAATGGTGGTAGAATGTGCATTTGGACATTTAAAAGCGCGCTGGCGCAGTTTACTGACTCTCTTAGACCTCAGCGAAACCAATATTCCCACTGTTATTACTGCTTGCTGTGCACTCCACGATATCTGTGAGAGTAAGGGGGAGACTTTGTGGGGGGGGGGGTGGGAGGTTGAGGCAAATCACCTGGCCGCTGGTTATGTGGAGCCAGACACCAGGGTGGTTAGAAGAGCACAGGAGGGCACGGTGCGCATCAGAGAAGCTTTGAAAACCAGTTTCATGACTGGCCAGGCTACGGTGTGAAAGTTCTGTTTGTATCTCCTTGATGAAACCCCCCGCCCCTTGGTTCACTCTACTTTCCTGTAAGCTAACCACCCTTCCCTCCTCCCTTCGATCACCACTTGCAGAGGCAATAAAGTCATTGTTGCTTCACATTCATGCATTCTTTATTCATTCATCACACAAATAGGGGGATAACTGCCAAGGTAGTCCGGGAGGGGTGGTGGAGGAGGGAAGGACAAGGCCACACAGCATTTTAAAAGTTTAAAACTAAAGGAATTGGCGGATGTGATTGCAGAGCCATTGGCCATTATCTTTGAAAACTAATGGCGATCGGGGGAAGTCCCGGAAGATTGGAAAAAGGCTAATGTAGTGCCCATCTTTAAAAAAGGGAAGAAGGATGATCCTGGGAACTTCAGGCCAGTCAGCCTCACGTCAGTCCCCGGAAAAATCATGGAGCATGTCCTCAAGGAATCAATTCTGAAGCACTTAGACGAGAGGAAAGTGATCAGGAACAGTCAGCATGGATTCACCAAGGGAAAGTCATGCCTGAATAATCTAATTGCCTTCTATGATGAGATAACTGGTTCTGTGGATGAAGGGAAAGCAGTGGACGTGTTATTCCTCAACTTTAGCAAAGCTTTTGACACGGTCTCCCACAGTATTCTTGCCAGCAAATTAAAGTAATATGGGCTGGATGAATGGACTATAAGGTGGATAGAAAGTTGGCTAGATTGTCGGGCTCAACGGGTAGTGATCAATGGCTCCGTGTCTAGTTGGCAGCCGGTATCAAGTGGAGTGCCCCAAGGGTCGGTCCTGGGGCCGGTTTTGTTCAATATCTTCATAAATGATCTGGAGGATGGTGTGGATTGCACCCTCAGCAAGTTTGCAGATGACACAGGCTTGATCCAGGACATTTGCAGAGCAGCGACCTGGGCATCAGTACATACTTTTTCTTCCAACTATGCCATCACCCAGCAAGTTAGAGATGACACTGGGGTTGGTTGGGCAGTGTTGTAATCCACGTGTCCATGAACCTCTTACGGTACTGCTTGGGAGTCTCTGAACGTGGAATGGACGTTTTTGAAGCATTTGAAGAAGAAAAATGGTTACTAACCTTTCTGTAACTGTTGTTCTTTGAGACGTGTTGCACACATCCATTCCCTGAGCCACCCTCCTACCCCTCTGTTGAAGTTGCTGGCAAGAAGGAACGGAGACGGTGCGGGGTCAAACAGTCTCCTTATACCACAACATGAATACGCCGCACTAGAGGGCGCTAGAGCAAGCCTGAGGGGTATCACCGAGGGAAAAATTTCTGGCGACTGTGTGCAGGGCACACACCTAGCGTGGAATGGACATGCGCAACACATCTCCAAGAACAACCGTTGCAGGTGTTTGTCCAGCTCTGGGGCATAGTTCAGGGACACAGCTTAGTCGGCTTGGCTCTCACCTACGGCTGTGACACCAAATTGTATTTTAATCCCCTGACCTACATTTTTCCAGAAGAGATTAGTGATTTTTGGGTGTCTGAGATTGAGGCCGGGTGCTCCCACTTTCTGATCAGGCCCCTTTAAAAGGGCTCAGGTGGGCACCCAAAATCGCTAGTCATTGCTGAAAATCTAGGCATTTATCTCGATGTATCTAATGCAGGGCGGGGGAGGGGTGAAAATATTTGGGACCCTGTGTCAGGGTTCCCTCCTTACTCTGAACTCTAGGGTACAGATGAAAGACCCCCTAAGCTTATTTTTACCAGTTTAGGTTAAAAATTTTCCCAAGGCACAAATTCCGCCTTGTTCTTGAACAGTATGCTGCCACCACCAAGTGATTTAGACAAGAACAAGGAAAGGACCACTTGGAGTCCTATTCCCCCAAGCCCTACACTGCCTTTCCTGGGGAAGGCTTGATAATAATATCCTCACCAATTGTTACAGGTGAACACAGATGCAAACCCTTGGATCTTAAGAACAATGAAAAATCAATCAGGTTCTTAAAAGAAGAATTTTATTTAAAGAAAAGGTAAAAGAGTCCCCTCTGTAAAACCAGGATGGTAAATACCTTACAGGGTAATCAGATTCAAAACATAGAGAATTGCTCTAGGCAAAACCTTAAATTCCAAAAAGACACAAAAATAGGACTACACATTCCCTGCAGCACAGTGAATTTCACAAGCCAAAAAAAAAAGAAAGAAAATCTAACGCATTTTCTAGCTAGATTACTTACTAACGCGATAGGAGTTGAATTGCTTGTTTCCTTGATCGGTCCCCAGGCAGAGGCATCACACAGACAGACAAACCCCCTCTCCCCCCACCCCAATGGTCATTTCTTGGTCAGGTGCCAGACAGGTTACCCGAGCTTCTTAACCCTTTACAGATAAGAGGATTTTATAGTACTGTATCAGAGCTTCTTAACCCCTTCCCTTTATGACACCCTGTTTGGGTTATTTTTGTGCCCCCACATTCTGCCCTGTTTGCCAAGCGAGGGGTCTGATCCGTTCCCCACACATTTCAGTCTTCCTCGTGATCCCCACAGTGATCTCTATTCACCATAGCCTCCCTCCCTCTCCCCTAAATTCTTCTGCCTGTCCCCATCCCCCCCTCACCCTCCAGTCTCCCTCCCTGCCTCCTGTCAGCCTAGGGGTGGCTGTATTAACTGAGTCTGATCTTGGCTGTGTGTGAGATGGGGGCCGTTGTGAAGATTAGTCTGGCTGTAGGAAAATGTTGGCCAGCTGAACTAAAGGCCGTCAGTGGCCTGATCCTTACAGGGAATCACCTGGGGACAGTGGCTGTGTGAAAAAGAGGCCAAGCATCCAAAGTTGGTGCTTTGCCATTCCTAGATTGAGCTGGGGGCACGGGGAAGAGGGGGGAAACCGAGGAATCCTGAGGATTCTGTGAGGTCCTTAAACCAGAGCAGAGGTTAGTGTCGGGGACAGACCTCCTGTACCCTCTCCCCACAGGGGCATGGGGGTACTGTGAATGGAGGAGGTGGGGGACCAAGTGACCCTGAGGACCCTGCAAAATGAATAAAAGCAGAGCAGAAGAGAGTGGGGTGTAGACCGTCTGCACTCTCTCTCTTCTGCTCTCTGAGCATCCCCCCAGTTCTGGTAGGGAGGGTCATTTTAGGAAAGAGAGAGAGTGCAGAGGGATAGACCCCTGCAAAATCCGGAGTACTCCCTTTGGGGTTGTGCCACCCTGCACCCCCTGCAGGGAACATACAAGAACAAGCAGCAATGAGGTACACCTTGAAGGTTGTGAGCTCTCTGCAGTGTGTGTGTGGGGGGGGGGGTGCCCCCTGCGGGTTTGGGTTCCCTCCTGAAAGGAGCTGGGAGGGTGTAGGACCCAACAGCATAAGTGGGAACCCCATTTCTCAGGAGACGGAAGGCCCAATAGCAAGGGGAGGACCCACTGGGCTACCTACAGTTGGGTCTTGGTGAGATTTTCAGAGAGAGGCTGCTGCTGACCCTCAGCTGTGTTTCAGGGTTTCACGTTATCCAGACGATATACGGCTGTGATCTCCGGGAAGACAACGTCATTCAGGGGTTTTACCAGGATTCATATGACGGACGAGACTTTCTTACCTTCGATAAGGAGACCATGACTTGGGTAGCAGCAGATATTGGGGCTCAGATCACCAAGAAGAGATGGGATGTTGAAATAGGTGACAACCAGCGGTGGAAACGGTACCTGGAGGAGGAATGTATTCCCTGGCTAAGGAGTTCTCTAGAGTATGGGAAGGAGACTCTGCAGAGGAAAGGTAAGATGGGTGACAAGTCCCACCCAGGAGGTCACTGCAAGTTACATCTCCATTCCCCAGTTCCAAAATGGAGCAAGGGGTGGGGGGCAGTTGAGCTAACCTGGCCCCAGGGATGGGTGGGGAAACAACCCCTTCCCCCGCCTCCCAGCTCTGCTGGAAAAAAAGATAAGAAATTGAAAATGTTAAAAGCAGCTCACTGTAGAGAAGCTGACCAAATGAGCCCAAATTTACAGCACAATTTCTACCTCTTCCCCTGGTGTGACACAGTAGTTATCAAGGCAATATGCCTGTGTGTGTGCATTTTAGAGCACTTTGATTAATTATGGAAAAGCCACCACTTCTATGTACACCAGCTTCATTCACCATGCAATTCTTCCTCATTCACTGTCTATACCATCATATTTGTTATGTTACCCCCAGCCCTTGTGTTCCACCAATGACTGTAGCTTTGTTCTTATTGCCTCTTTGTCCAAACTTCTCCCACAGTCATCTATGTGCTTTCTTTTATGCTATCCCCTACATGTGGAATTGCCCTCCCCATACTAATGTGGAAGAAGGGTCCCCTTGTCCTTAAAGTTTTCCCTCTCAAGACCTACCTTTGCTGCAACACTTCCATACTTATTACTTGTTCTTTTATTACTTGTTAATTTTATGCAAATTAGTTAGCATCATTACACACCCTAATCTTTCCCTTCCCAAACAGTTTGCATTTGCTATTCAAGGTTACTTGAAATTTGTACCCGTTTTTTTTCAACATACTAGTTGCTTATTTCTCTCACAAACCTCAGCAGAACATCATCTTGTCCTTTGCTATCTTTACAAATGCCAAGAAGTAAAAGCCATACACAGCAGTGTAATGTATATTTCAGTGCCAAGGGGCTGGGAAACTGATTGTTCAACATAAGGGTAAATCCTTTTGAAATCCATAATATTGGGGTAAACAGATTTGGTAACAACCTACAAGAAATTAGCCAATTAATATTAGCTAGTTTGAGGGCAATTTAGCACTGTCACTTTTGTTTAATGGGCCCTTTCCATCTCTAATTGGTCAGTTTATCCAACCCATTTTTTTGCTTCTTGGCCAGGGCAAGATTCTTCTCTCTTTCAAATCCAGGGACTGAGAGGAGATGGGCACAAACCTAGCACATGATTGACATCTGTAACTGGAGCTTAGTGAAGCCTTTCAAGGTACTTCTGTCACTGTGGTTGGGAGCAGAGGCCAGGTCAGGGACCTGGATTCAGGATTCACTGTTGCTGATGCTGTGAATTCGGCACAGGAATCCACTAACATGGTGATTTCTCTCTCATCAGAGGGATTCCATCTCATGGAATCATAGAATCATAGAATATCAGGGTTGGAAGGGACCTCAGGAGGTCATCTAGTCCAACCCCCTGCTCAAAAGCAGGACCCATCCCCAATTAAATCATCCCAGCCAAGGCTTTGTCAAGCCTGACCTTAAAAACTTCTAAGGAAGGAGATTCCACCACCTCCCTAGGCAACGCATTCCAGTGTTTCACCACCCTCCTAGTGAAAAAGTTTTTCCTAATAGGGTGGTGAAACACTGGAATGCGTTGCCTAGGGAGGTGATGGAATCTCCTTCCTTAGAAGTTTTTAAGGTCAGGCTTGACAAAGCCTTGGCTGGGATGATTTAATTGGGGATGGGTCCTGCTTTTGAGCAGGGGGTTGGACTAGATGACCTCCTGAGGTCCCTTCCAACCCTGATATTCTATGATTCTATGACTCTCTGTGAGTGTAATCACTCTATGATTCTATGGACTCTCATCCTCTCCCACTGCTGGGGTCTCAGAATTTCATGCTGTAAAGCTCCAGCAAAGGCTGCCTGGTTTAGAGCTTGAAAACAACTACAGTAACTTCAATTTTGTCTTTTTCCCAGTGCGCCCAACAGCTAGAGTGAGCGACCGGTCATCTCATGATGGCCTCACCACCCTCTCCTGTACAGTCAGAGGGTTCTACCCCCGGGACATCACCGTGACCTGGCTGAAAAATGGGGAGAGCAGACAGCAAGAGACCTACTCTGAAGGCATCCTACCCAGTGGGGACGGGACTTACCAGACCTGGGTGAAAATGGAGATTGATCCCAAGATCAAAGCCCGTTATTCATGTCACGTGGAGCATGAAAGCCTGTTAGAGCCACTCTCTGTCTCCTGGGGTAAGGAGTTTGTGTGTTTGTCTGTTTTCCGAGTGGGAGAGGGGGAATCCATTACTCTCAAACTCAGAAAAATTCTCATTCAAATTTATAGGCTGAAGCTGGAATTTCCTCAGGGTCTGTGAGGCCCTGTCCTCTTTGGCCCTATCCCTCTGCAGTCAAGTTCTTGTGCTAGAGTTGGGACCCACAGTGCCTGGGGCTCATGTCTTGCTCTCCAGTTTGCTGCCTCTGGGTCTGTTTGATACATCATGATAAATCATGGAGCAGGTCCTCAAAGAATCAATCCTGAAGCACTTACATGAGAGGAAAGTGATCAGGAACAGTCAGCATGGATTCACCAAGCAAAGGTCATGCCTGACTAATCTAATCGCCTTCTATGATGAGATTACTGGTTCTGTGGATGAAGGGAAAGCAGTGGATGTATTGTTTCTTGACTTTAGCAAAGCTTTTGACACGGTCTCCCACAGTATTCTTGTCAGCAAGTTAAAGAAGTATGGGCTGGATGAATGCACTATAAGGTGGGTAGAAAGTTGGCTAGATTGTCAGGCTCAACGGGTAGTGATCAATGGCTCCATGTCTAGTTGGCAGCCGGTATCAAGTGGAGTGCCCCAGGGGTCGGTCCTGGGGCCGGTTTTGTTCAATATCTTCATAAATGATCTGGAGGATGGTGTGGATTGCACTCTCAGCAAATTTGCAGATGATACTAAACTAGGAGGAGTGGTAGATACGCTGGAGGGCAGGGGTAGGATACAGAGGGACCTAGACAAATTAGAGAATTGGGCCAAAAGAAATCTGATGAGGTTCAACAAGGACAAGTGCAGGGTCCTGCACTTAGGACGGAAGAACCCAATGCACCGCTACAGACTAGGGTCCGAATGGCTAGGCAGCAGTTCTGCGGAAAAGGACCTAGGGGTGACAGTGGACGAGAAGCTGGATATGAGTCAGCAGTGTGCCCTTGTTGCCAAGAAGGCCAATGGCATTTTGGGATGTATAAGTAGGGGCATAGCGAGCAGATCGAGGGACGTGATCGTTCCCCTCTATTCGACATTGGTGAGGCCTCATCTGGAGTACTGTGTCCAGTTTTGGGCCCCATACTACAAGAAGGATGTGGATAAATTGGAGAGAGTCCAGCGAAGGGCAACAAAAATGATTAGGGGTCTGGAACACATGAGTTATGAGGAGAAGCTGAGGGAACTGGGATTGTTTAGTCTGCAGAAGAGAAGAATGAGGGGGGATTTGATAGCTGCTTTCAACTACCTGAGAGGTGGTTCCAGAGAGGCTGGTTCTAGACTATTCTCAGTGGTAGAAGAGGACAGGACAAGGAGTAATGGTCTCAAGTTGCAGTGGGGGAGGTTTAGGTTGGATATTAGGAAAAACTTTTTCACTAGGAGGGTGGTGAAACACTGGAATGCGTTACCTAGGGAGATGGTAGAATCTCCTTCCTTAGAAGTTTTTAAGGTCAGGCTTGACAAAGCCCTGGCTGGGATGATTTAATTGGGGATTGGTCCTGCTTTGAGCAGGGGGTTGGACTAGATGGTCTCCTGAGGTCCCTTCCAACCCTGATATTCTATGATTCTATGATCTCAGCAATACACTGTCTCTGAAGGGAGAAGATTAACAAGTGGACACTAATGCCTGAAGGGACCATTCTAATAATCTGATCTGAGCTCCTGCATAGCCCAGGGAAGCAGGAAATCACACCAGGGACCCTAGCATCCAGTTTGGTCATCTGTGGGCAAACAAGATCTGATCCTTCTGGAATAGGCAATCTCTTTCTGATGTAAAGTCTCCAAGGGATGGAGAATTTACCACATCCTAGGGGAAGCTCAAATCTGCCCCTTATTTCCAAACAGAATTGGTCTTGCTTTAGCTTGCAGCCCGGGCTCAACTTCAGGCACTCATGGTCCTGCCATGAGTGCAGGGGACTGGACTAGATGACCTCTCAAGGTCCCTTCCAGACCTGTGATTCAGCAGGTTCTCAGAAACATAGCTCTACATGCCCTTCATTCTTGCCCATGTGGCCAGAGAGAGATGTTTAATGTTAGGAGCAGCTTGTTTCTGTGTGCAGTGATGCTGGAAGAGAGGGTATGGCCTTGGAATGGAGCAAGAAGGCAGATTAGAGCCCTGCATCAGTGGGGAGAGTCTCCTATGTCCCTAGCACAAAAAAGTCGAGGAAGAATTTTTTTACCCATGGAGCTGCCTTCCAGTCATCTTTTTGCTTGGTTAATTGTGATGTGGAAAAATGCAGCATTTGGAAGTGCAAACGATTTCTGAGCGGGCAGCCTGCACCGGGGCTCTCATCAGCAGATGGTTTCACATCACAATCCTGCTACCACGTCCCCTGCCAATTTTTGTGTCATAAACCACATTTCCTTATTCTCTTAGAAATATTTTTCTTTTTGCTGTTTTATTATGTGGCTCTTTCAGACAACAGGAGAAGCTGATTAGTGAAACTGAAAGTGTATACAGAACTCGGGGTTCAAAAGGTTTATATAAACAAAGAACAGTATTAAAATATCTCTATCATCCCCTCTTCACTTCCTGCCCCCCTCAAAAAACATGTGTCTGTAACTCCATTCTTGGCAGGGAAATCCAGAGCTTTGAGGTCAGTTTCCAGTTTGTCTCCAGACGCCCACAATGGGACTGTTCCATTAGTCATGGAAGTCAGCATGGTCAAAGGGGGTTAGGGGCTGGGAATCAGGACTCCTGGGTTCTGGGAGGTAAGTGGAGGCTAGTGGGTTAGAGCAGGAGGTCTGGGAGCCAGGACACCTGGGGTCTATTCCTGGCTCTTGCACTGCCTCACTGTGTGATCTTCAGCAAGTCTTCCCCCTTTCCCGTTTAGGAACGATACTGACATCCATGCTCTCCCACAGTTAGGTTTATGAGGATTGGTTAATGTTATAAAAGTCTTCTAGTTTAAGTGCTACATATGTATTATGATTTGAAGGGGTAGAGGCTGTGTCCAGGACTTTGTATGGTGGGGTGCAATGCATGGTAGGTGCATGGTGGCTGCGTGGAGCTCACTGGAAGGGGTGGAGGGTTGCAGGACTTATCCCTAACCTGGGGAGCTGACTGACGGATCCCTGCAGTGGGATGAAAGGGGGGGCTTAGTGGGGGGGTTTCCCCATTGATCATTCTCTCCATTCCATTTCAGAACCAAATAACAATCTGATTCCCGTTGTGGCTGGAGTTATCACTGCAGTTGTCCTGATTGGTGTTATAATTGGAGTAGTCGTCTGGAAAAAGAAACGCTCAGGTAAAGAGCCTGGGATGGGGGGATTCTCTGGACTTGCTGGGCCCTGCACACCTGCCTAAGGGCAACAGCAGTACAGGAGTCAGTGTCAGTCCGGTGTAACTGCCCCAGTACTGTGTACTGCGGGACTGACCTAATGGTCCCCAGTGGGAGCTGCCAGACCCAGAAACTGGGTGCAGGCTACAGTTTATATGCGGTTAGGTTTTCTGAAGAGCTCAGCACCCAGTGCACCAGGTCTTTGGAAACTGTCTCATTGTGTCTTTCTCTCCTGCCCATCATGAGCGCCTGGGACCATGAGTCCATTACTGAGCACCAGGGGGCTGTGCTGGGCCAGGGGCCCGCTGTGGACACTGATTGCAGTTGGTTCCTGCCTTGGGAGCTGCATTCACTGAAATTTGCCTTCTCTCTGCAGGGAAGAAGGGAGATGGCTACACTATAGCTTCAGGTAAGTGACAAGAGACCCATCACCTCTTTTCAAGTGGCCATCCCTGAACAGGCATCAGTATTTGCTTGTGGATTTTAGCCTAGAGGCTCTGACAGGAGATCCTCGCTCCCACTCATAGGCCTTGTCTACAATGAGGATTTTAGGGAAATCTCCAACTATTGCTCTAGTACCATAGAATCGTAGGACTGGAAGGGACCCCAAGAGGACACCTAATCCGGTTCCCTGCACTCATGGCAGGACTAGGTATTATCTAGACCATCCCTGACTAACCTGCTCTTAAAAACCTCCAATTAGGGAGATTCCACAACCTCTCTAGGCAATTTTATTCCAGTGCTTAACCACCCTGACAGGATTTTTTTCCTAATGTGCAACCTAAACCTCCCTTGCAGCAATTTAAGCCCATTGCTGCTTCTCCTGTCCTCAGAAGTTGATGAAAACAGTTTTTTCCCTCCTCCTTGTAACAATAGTTTTCAAGTACATAAAAGGTTATCACATCTCCCCCTCAGTCTTCTCTTCTGCAGACTAAACAAACCCAATTATTTCAGTCTTCCCTCACAGGTCATGTTTTCTAAATCTTTAATCATTCTGTTGCTCTCCTGTGGACTTTCTCCAATTTGTCCACATCCTTCCTGGGCACAATACTCCAGTTAAGGCTTTATCAGCACAGACTAGAGAGGAAGAATTACTTCTCGTGTCTTGCTTACAACACTCCAGCTAATACATCCCAGAATGATGTTTGCTTTTTTTGCAACAGTGTCACACTGCTGATTCATATTTAGCTTGTGATCCACTATGACCCCTAGATCCCTTTCTGCAGTACTCCTTCCTAGGCAGTCATTTCCCAATTCTTTATGTGTGCAACTTCCAAAGTGGGGTAATTTACATTTTTCCTTATTGAATTTCATCCTATTTACTTCAGACCATTTATCCAGTTTGCCCAGATCATTTTGAATTTTCATCCTAGCCTCCAAAGCACTTGTGACCCGTCCCAGCTTGGTATCGTCTGCAAACTTTGTAAGTGTACTCTCTATGCCATTATCAAAACCATTGATGAAGACATTGAACAGAACCAGACCCAGAACTAATCCCTGAGGGACCCCACTCATTATTCCCTTCCAACATGACTGTGAACTATTGATAACTACTCTCTGGGAACGGTTTTCCAACCAGTTCTGCACCCACCTTATAGTAGCACCATCTAGGTTGTATTTCCCTAGTTTGTTAATGAGACGGTTCTGTGAGACAGTATCAAAAGCCTTACTAAAGTCAAGATATACCGCATCTACCATTTCCCCCATATACACAAGGCTTGTTACCCTGTCAAAGAAAGCTACCAGGTTGGTTTGACACAATTTGTTCTTGACAAATCCATGCTGACTGTTACTTATCACCTTATGATCTTCTAGGTGTTTGCAAATTGATTGCTTAATTATTTGCCTCATTATCTTTCTGGGTACTGAAGTTAAACTGACAGGTCTGTAATTCCTGGGGTTGTCCCTAATCCCCTTTTCATAGATTGGCGCTATATTTCCCCTCTTCCAGTCCTCTCTCCCATCTTCCATGACTTTTCAGAGATATTGGCTCAGATATCTCCTCAGTCAGCTCCTTGAGTATTCTAGGATGCTTTTCATCAGGCCTTGGTGACTTGAAGACATCTAACTTGTCTAAATAATTTTTAACTTGTTCTTTCCCTATTTTAGCCTCAGAGTCTACCTCAACTTCACTGGTGTTCACTATGTTAGATGTCCAATCACTATGAAACATTTGGGTGAAAACTGAAACAAAAAAGTCATTTAGCCCTTTTCCCATTTTCACATGTTCTGTTATTGTCTTTTCTTCACCATTCACTGACGGGCCTACCCTGTCCTTGGTCTTCCTCTTGCTTTTAATGTATTTTTAGAATGTTTCTTTGTTACACTTTATGTCTCAAGCTAGTTTAATCTCGTTTTGTGCCTTGGTCTTTCTAATTTTGTCCCTACATACTTGTGTTATTTGTTTACAGTTATCTTTGGAATTTGACCTTGTCATAAATATAAAGTGAAGGGTAACCACCTTTCTGTATACAGAACTATAAAATCCCTCCTGGCCAGAAGCAAAACCCTTTACAGGAGAAAGGGTTAAGAAGCTAAGATAACCTCGCTGGCACCTGACCAAAATGACCAATGAGGAGACAAGATACTTTCAAAGCTGGGGGTGGGGGGGAAGAAAGGGTCTGTCTGTCTGTGTGATACTTTTGCAGGGAACAGATCAGGAATGCTCTTCAGAACTCCTGTAAAAAGTTAGTAAGCAATCTAGCTAGAAATGCATTAGATTTTCTTTTGTTTAATGACTGGTAAAATAGCACATGCTGAATGGAATGTATATTCCTGCTTTTGTGTCTTTTTGTACCTTAAGGTTTTGCCTAGAGGGATTCTCTATGTTTTGAATCTCATTACCCTGTAAGGTATTTACCATCCTGATTTTACAGAGGTGATACTTTTACTTTTTCTTCGATTAGAATTCTTCTTTTAAGAACCTGATTGCTTTTTCATTGTTCTTAAGATCCAAGGGTTTGGGTCTGTGTTCACCTATGCAAATTGGTGAGGATTTTTATCAAGCCTTCCCCAGGAAAGGAGGTGTTGGGCTTGGGGGGATATTTTGGGGGAAGACGTCTCCAAGTGGGCTCTTTCCTTGTTCTTTGTTTAACACGCTTGGTGGTGGCAGCATAGGATTCAAGGACAAGGCAAAGTTTGTACCTCGGGGAAGTTTTTAACCTAAGCTGGTAAGACTAAGCTTAGGGGGTCTTTCATGCAGGTCCCCACATCTGTACCCTAGAGTTCAGAGTGGGGAAGGAACCTTGACAGACCTAGTTTCCACTTTGTGTAGGACTCTTTTTTTTTTTATTTTTAGATCATTAAAGATCACCTGGTTAAGCAAGCATGGTCTCTTGCCATCCTTCATTTCTTTCCTGTGCAGTGGGATAGTTTGTACTTGTGGTCTTGATAATGTCTCCTTGAGAACTTTCAAACCCTCCTGAACTGTTTTTCCCCTTAAACTTGCTTCCCAGGGGGTCTTATCTACCAACTCCCTGAATTTGCTAAAGTCTGCCTTCTTGAAATCCATTATTTTATTCTGTTGTTTTCCTTCCTACCATTCTTTAGAATCATGAACTCTTATCATTTCCTAATCACTTTCACCCAAGCTGCCTTCCACTTTCAAATTCTCAACCAGTTCCTCCCTATTTGTCAAAGTCAAATCTAATGAGTCAAATGCAGAGCCATTCGCCATTATCTTTGAAAACTCATGGCGATCGGGGGAGGTCCCACATGACTGGAAAAAGGCTAATGTAGTGCCCATCTGTAAAAAAGGGAAGGAGGAAGGTCCGGGGAACTACAAGCCAGTCAGCCTCACCTCAGTCCCTGAACAAATCATGGAGCAGGTCCTCAAGGAATCAATTCTGAAGCACTTGGAGGAGAGGAAAGTGACCAGGAACAGTCTGCATGGATTCACCAAGGGCAAGTCTATGATGAGATAACTGGCTCTGAGGATGAGGGAAAAGCAGTGGACGTGTTATTCCTTGACTTTAGCACAGTTTTTGATATAGTCTCTCACAGTATTCTTGCCAGCAAGTTAAAGAAGTATGGGCAGGATGAATGGACTATAGGGTGGATAGAAAGCTGGCTAGATCATCAAGCTCAACGGATAGTGATCAATGGCTCCATGTCTAGTTGGCAGCCGGTATCAGGCAGAGTGCCCCATGTGTCGGTCCTGGGGCTGGTTTTCTTCAATATCTTCATAAATGATCTGGAGGATAGCGTGGATTGCACCCTCAGCAAGTTTGTAGATGACACTAAACTGGGAGGAGTGGTAGATATGCTGGAGGATAGGGGTAGGAGACAGAGGGAACTAGACAAATTAGAGGATTGGGCCAAAAGAAATCTGATGAGGTTCAACAAGGGCAAGAGTAGAGTCCTGAACTTAGGATGGAAGAATCCCATGCACCGCTACAGGCTGGGGACCGACTGGCTAAGTAGCAGTTCTGCAGAAAAGGACCTGGGGGTTACAGTGGATGAGAAGCTGGATATGAGTCAGCAGTGTGCCCTTGTTGCCAAGAAGGCCAACGGCATATTGGGCTGCATTAGTAGGGGCGTTACCAGCAGATCAAGGGACATGATCGTTCCCCTCTATTCGACATTGGTGAGGCCTCATCTGGAGTATTGTGTCCAGTTTTGGGCCCCACGCAACAAGATGGATGTGGAAAAATTGGAAAGAGTCCAGTGGAGGGCAACAAAAATGATTAGCAAAAAGAAAAGGAGTACTTGTGGCACCTTAGAGACTAACCAATTTATTTGAGCATAAGCTTTTGTGAGCTACAGCTCACTTCATCGGATGCATACTGGATAGGTTAACAATATTGCTGGGTGGGTTGAGGGAACCATTGCTGTGGCCCCTTGTGGCATGTAGTAGTTTAGAAAGTTTAGTGTCCTTTTTCTTTTGTAGAGAAGCAAAGTGTGTGTTGTAAATGTCTTGTCTAGTTTTAGTAAAGTCCAGCCACGAGGAAGTTTGTGTGGAAGGTTGGTTTTTTATGAGAGTATCCATTTTTGAGAGCTCATTCTTTGTCTTTCCCTGTTTGCTGTAGAGGATGTTGATCAGGTGGTTCCGCAGTTTCTTTGAGAGCGTGTGGCACAAGCTGTCAGCATAGTCTGTGTGGTATGTAGATTGTAATGGATTTTTTACCTTCAGTCCTTTTGGTACGATGTCCATCTGTTTGCATTTGGAAAGGAAGATGATGTCTGTCTGTATCTGTACAAGTTTTTTCATGCAGTTGATAGATTTCCACTCCATACGGCTAAATGCAGTGCCTTGCATAATGACAGGTTTCAGAGTGACAGCCGTGTTCGTCTGTATTCGCAAAAAGAAAAGGAGTACTTGTGGCACCTTAGAGACTAACCAATTTATTTGAGCATAAGCTTTCATGAGCTCAGTATGCATCCGATGAAGTGAGCTGTAGCTCATGAAAGCTTATGCTCAAATAAATTAGTTAGTCTCTAAGGTGCCACAAGTACTCCTTTTCTTTTTGCGAATACAGACTAACATGGCTGTTACTCTGAAAAATTATTGGGGGCTGGAGCACATGACTTATGAGGAGAGGCTGAGGGAACTGGGATTATTTAGTCTGCAGAAGAGAAGAATGAGAGGGGATTTGATAGCTGCTTTCAACTACTTGAAAGGGGGTTCCAAAGAGGATGGAGCTAGACTGTTCTCAGTGGTGGCAGATGACAGAACAAGGAATAATGGTCTCAAGTTCAGTGGGGGAGATTTAGGTTGGATATTAGGAAAAAACTTTTTCACGAGGAGGGTGGTGAAACACTGGAATGGGTTACCTAGGGAGGTGGTGGAATCTCCTTCCTTAGAGGTTTTTAAGGTCAGGCTTGACAAAGCCCTGGCTGGGATGATTAGTTGCGGATTGGTCCTGCTTTGAGCAGGGGGTTGGACGAGATGACCTCCTGAGGTCCCTTCCAACCCTGATATTCTATGATTCTCTCCCTAGTAGCATTCTCCACCTGCTGAAAGAAAAATTTTCTCCAGTACATTCCAAGAACTTGTTGGATAACCTGTGCCGTGCTCTGTTATTTTCCCAAGAGAGGTCTTCTTCAGTAGTGTAGAGTGACTGTAGATACATGTTCTCTAACCTTGCTCAGAGGAAGTCTAGATGGGGGTTAAAAACACCTGAACCCCATCTCCTCCATAGCTCCACCTTTGCTCTCTCTGGTGGAATTGCATCGCTTGTGGGTATGGGTCCCAATTTTGCTCGTGTAGACAAGGCAATAGGAATGTGTATGGTGGTGTTAGGCTGAATTATTATCCCCCTAGAGCTGTGCTATGTGTGGCTGAGTGTGACCCCGAAAGTGTCTGACCTGCTTTTAATGTTACATTTCTTTTGACTTACCTGAAAGTTGGGTTTCAGTGCTCGTGAAATCTGGGCCTGATCCAAAGCCTGTGAAGCCAATGGGAATCTTTCCACTGACTTCAGATCAGCACCACTCTGTCTCCTTGATGACCACGAGTTCAAATACCCTCCTCAGTTGTCTCCTGTAATTAGCTTTAGGAATAGGATGAAAACTAAAACTATGGAAAATATTTACATAAATTATGGACTGTCTCGGAGGCCATCTAATGCCTGGCACCAAGAGCTGGTATAAAGTGAACAGATCTGCCGGGCCCTGCTAGGGTGTAGCCGTCCATCTCTCTCTTTACTCTCTCAGGGGTGCCCCAGGCAGGTAACTGAGGGGGTTTGAGAAGTGCCAACAAAACCTCCTCAGAGCACCACCCTTCCTCCCACAGCTGGCCCTCAGTCGTGCCTCCCTCCCTCCTCCTCCTCGTTGCTCCAGAACAACGGAAATTCACATGCAGGAACTTTGTTAATGGGGAGTTAAGGGTGCAGGTGCTCAGCCCTGCGCTGGGCTCCCTGTGTCCTGTCAGAATGGGTGTGTGTAAGCATGTAGGCGGGTGTGGCTCTCCCTCGGTGTCCGTCTCTGAGGGAGGCCACACCCTTTTGCTGACACGCTCCTGGAACAACAGTCTAAGCAAGGGGGCGGTTGGCCGTCTAAGGCACCAACCCTCTGGCAGGGTAGATCAGGGAACAGCCTGGGGCCCAGGCAGGGGCTATCGACTTGCTCAGGCCTCCTGGCCTAAGGTGGGGAGGCTGCCAACTCTGGGGTTAGGGTGGCAGGGGAACGTGAGCCCACCCGACTCCACCGTGTCCCAGCCCAGGGCTGTAACAACGGCAGAGCAATCTGCAACTGGCTCAGCGGGGATCCAGCCGCAACACACTGACCTCGTGCCAGCCAGCAATGTAGCTGGACAGCAGTCAGCTGTCCCTGGGCTACTTCCTCCCCTCCCCTCCCCCTGGGTGGAGCTGAACCCCGGGTTGTCCTCCGTCTCCCCGCAGTGCACACTGCCAGTGGCAATCTCAGCAGCTCCTCAGCGTCGGGCTTCTCGCAGTTCTGCTGTCCCAAGGACGCATCCAAGATACCAGGGGTCTTCCAAGGGCTCCAGCAGCGGGCTGGAAGCGTGTGACTTCCTCAGCAACTCCTGCTCAACTGAGCTGCAGGGCTCGCCTCTTATATGTCCAGTTCCCGTCCTGCCCTTCCGCTTCCTGCGTGGCAGCCGAGGTCTGGCCCTCCCTTGCTCTCAGCCTCTGAGGGAGGCCACGCCCCTTTCCTACAGAGTGTTTAATTCCCAGAAGTCAAAGGTTGGCAAACCAGCATATGCAGAGGTAGAATGATGCTTCTTACACAACTCGAACTCTGCCCCAGTGGGTCTGGGAATAGGAACAGGAAGTAGAACAGCACCATGCCAAACCAAACTTGTCCTTGTCTGTGTGCCCAGCACCACCCCAAATCAGCATGCCTTTTCATACCGTCCACACTGTTCGGTGCAGCGCCATTGATTAAGGCGGGAATTGCTGTTCATTGGCAGGGGGTGAGGGTGACGTCTGTGGTCTGCGTGAGGGACCCCTCTGGGAACAGACCGAAGGGGGCAGAGTTGAGGTTGTTTGGCCTGAGTATCCTTAGCCCAGCATCTCCTACTTTGCCAGCCATTGAATGTTGAGTGTTCCGGGCTCCCGTTCTGACGAGGCATGAAGAGCACAGAGCAGTGCTGACCCCCTGCAGTGGTGACATTTTTTGCATGGGAATAATGGAAATCCTGGGCAGCTGCCCTGTAGACTGGTCTGTGCACCAACCAGCTCACTGCTAGGGAAGAGTGAGGTGATGACTGTTCCCTTTGGATAGGAGTCCCCGTATCTACTAACTCCGCTGAAACTCTGCCTTGTGAGAGATACTAATATCCTCTCTTCTCCTCCTCCTCTGCACAGAAAATGACCAAGGATCTAGTGGCTCTGACCTATCTGCCAAGGGTAAGTGATGGAGGCTGTAGCCTAGGGGTTCACTGCTCTCACTGAGGCCTCTGGAGAGAGACACCTAGTCCAAGTCATTGGACCTTCTAGCAAACCAGCCCCAAGGAGCAGGACGGGGGGGGGTTCTGGATCTCTTATTTCCCTTTTATTCACATGGGGGTGCAGGAACAGGTTTGTAGCCAAATCCCCCTTGTTTTATCTGCAATGAATTTAGGTGTGAAAGACTCTAGTGAGAGGGATTTCTCTGTGGCTGCTGACACAGCGTGGGCTGAGCTCAGCTTTTGCAAGGATAACTCCAGCTGCTTCAGAGAACAGTCTCCAGTGAAACTGCAGGGAGGAAGCAGGAGGGACAGAGCCCAGCACTTGGGGCTCCAGGAACCTGGGTCGCTGACCCTGGAGCTACAAGCTTTGTCAGCGGGGTTCGAGATTTTGTCCACTGAACCCTGCAGCCACTAGGGCGACCGTCCCACAGCAGTGTGCACTGTCATTGCAAAACATTCTGGCAGGTTCCCTTTAATAGATGTTGCCTGTGTTTAACTTCTGCAGCTTAACTGAGCCTGTTGGAGTCTGTGCCACGACGTGAGGGGAGCCCAGAGAGGAAGATGGATGAGCTCTGCTCTGTCTCCCTGCAAGAACCAGTCAACCCCTCCCTAGCTTTTCTCTGGCACTTGGAGTGTCCTGTGTGGGATTTCCGGCCTCATCTGTCTGCTCACTGAACCACTTTTTGCTTTTCAGATGTAATAGTTTTCTGTAATAATGTTTTATTTGCACAGAATAATTTCCAAAATGTGAATGGATAAAAACTCTGTTAGTCAGAGTTTAGTATTTGCTAGCGTTCAGTGATGCACTCAGTGCTCTGGCTGCGCAATGCTGTCTGCACAAGACGGTGCGCGAGATCTGTGAGCAGTAGCTGCTTGTGTGTCTATGGTGGGGGACGTCTGTCTTTTCTGTAGAATTTCATGATTATAACATGGTAAATGGCCGGGTCTACTCGCAGCTGGCAGCGCTGTTGCTCACATCGGCTGAGGCATTTTGTTGGACAGGAATAAGTGTCTGCATTTAGTTTATAAGTGCCTCAAATGTCCTTTTCACCATTGATAGAGCCATAGAAATGCTGGGCTACTAGGAATGTCAAGAGGTCGTCAAGTCAAGCCCCTGATCTCAGGCAGCACCAAGTAAACCTAGACCATCCTGGACAGGTGTTTGTCCAACCTGTTGTTGAAAACTTCTAATGACGGGGGTTCTACATCCTCTCTAGGAAACCTGTGTGATGAAGTGGGATATTTTCCTAACATTGCATACGTAGACCGTGCCTCCATTTCCCCAATGCGCTGCATGTCTAACCCAGGTGGGAGGGGAGTGCTATTGTTGCAGAGGACCAGGTGTGACCCAGTCTAGCAGCCTGGACCCCAGACCATGGCCTGGACACTTTTTCTAACTCAGTGACTGATGACCCGAAGGCCCATCCGAACTTGGAGCCAGTCAGTTATGGGCAGCAGAGAGAACAAAGAGCTGAAGTGAGAGTCACCTGGAGATCTGTTTGCCCGTGAAAGAAGTCAAAGATGGAGGCGGGGCCTTGGAGGTGATATAGGGTGGACCGCAGAAAGAAAGTAACCTCTGGGCTGGGAACAAAGAGCGGTCTAAGCCTACCTGGATGGGGACAGACCCAGATGGACACCCCTGAGAACATCTTGTGCTCTGTTCCAGACATACAATAAACCCTTCTGTGCTGCGCTGGCTGAGAATCGCTGCAGGCTAGAGAGAGAGAGGCATGCTGGAGGCTCAGATGTGTGGTACTGGGAGGCGGAGGAGAAGCGTACAGCTTAAATCCCGAGCAAAGCGTGACCTTATGTAGGGTCAATACTCTAAAGGCCGGTTCCTACCAAGGGCATATGGAGCCAAGAGAGCACTGGCCTGTGAGTCTGTGACAACCTGTTCCACAGTGAACTGTCCTTATAGCTAGAGAGTTTTTCCTAATGTGTAATCTAAATTCCCCCTTCTCCAACTATCAACTGGAGAACGATTGATCACCGTCCTCTTCGGAGCAGCCCTTAATACAGGGATAGTTAATTATTTTTTTCAAGGTCCAAATTTCTTGGTCAAGATATAGCCACGGCCCAGACTCAAGAGAAACATTTCTCACACCACAAGTGCCCCTGTTCAACGAACACAAACAATGCTGTGAAATATACCCAGGGCCTATGTTGTTTATATTCTTAGTGCATTAAATGAAAAATGAAATCAAACCACTGTATAGCCTGAAAATAACGTCCAGGAAAGATAACGAGGAGTCCCATGGCACCTTAAAGACTAACCGGTTTAATTGGGCATAAGCTTTCATGGGCCCACGAAAGCTTATGCCCAAATAAATCTGTTAGTCTTTAAGGTGCCACCGGACTCCTCGTTGTTTTTGGGGATACAGACTAACACGGCTACCCCCTGATACTTGTCTCCAATTTATCTGAAACATTGAGAAAGTATTTAGAAAAATGTCAAATAGATGCAAATATTAGCATTAAAAATACTTTCAGGCAACAGTTAAGTTGTGTGTGAGTTTTGTCAAATACGGTTATTGTAGGTATATCTGCATAGAGAGAGAGAAACAGATTCAAAACTTTTTCAGCCTTTTGTGGTTTATTTACCATAATTATCAGAGTTTGAAAGAAACACTTAGTACACCTGAACTCTTCATCTTTTATGATTCAAGCCTTTCCACTAACAAACACCCATCCACCACCACTCCCAGATCCTTCTCAGCAGTGCTGCTGCCGAGCCAGTTTGCCTCATTCTGTATTTGTGCATTTGGTTTTCCTTCCCTACGTGGCGCACCTCGCATTGATCTTTGTTGAATTTCATTTTGCCTATTGCCCAGTTCTCCAATTTATCCAAATCCCTCTGAATTTTAGCTCTGTCCTCCAAAGTTTTGGCAACCTCCTTCCCCCTACCCCGCAGCTTTGTGTCATCTGCAGCACTGATCAGTCTGCTCTCTGTACATACATCCAGGTCATTAATAACGATGTTAAACACTGGACCCAGAACAGATCCCTGTGGAACCCCACTTAAGACCTCCTCTTTTGCCCTCATAATTTACAGCTCTCTCCTCCTCCTCGGGGTGCAATGACCCTCTATGGGTTAACAGGACCTTTTTCCAGTGAAAGAGCCTTTATCACACGGTGAATATTCTTAAGCATGTACATGTATTTATTAGCAATCAACAACTGATCAGCAGACTACTAATGCTCACCACTCCCAATAAAGCAGACAGACATCTCCTTATGGCCAGTCAGCGTTGTGTCATCTGGGGCTCTGGCTTCTCCACAGTCTGGTCATGAAAGGGTTAAAAATCCTAGCAGTTCTGGTCTTGAGCCGTATCCCTGAGTTACGTTCCAATGAGCTTGTTTTCTCATCCTCATATAGTTAAAATGAGAATTCTTCTTATAATGCCTTCGCCACTTGTTTTACTCAAATCATGACTATACCCTGCATCAGACCAATCATAACCCCTAATGGGCTATAACAATTTCTCTAGCAACAGCAAAACCTTCTAATTTCCGCTAATCAGCAAAAGCAGCTTTTAACTAAAACTCTCACGGGCGCCCAGTAAGAACCTTGCAGATACTCCAGGTTAGCGTGTCCATACTCCCTTCTGTTCCAGTGAATCTGTGACGTTCCTGGATCTGTCCCTGTGAGTGATGCTGCAGCTGCACCTGGCACTAGTTGTCCAGTGTGCTCAGGAGCACAGCAGGGGAGCTGCCTCATTCCTTCCCCCGTGGTGGGCTGCATGGACCCACCACAGGCTGGTGAGAGCTGCAGGTGAGAGAGATGGTCTGGAGACCCCTCCCTGACCAGCTTCCGCAGACTGGGCCAAGCCCCTCTGCCTGTCCCATGGAGCCTGCAGCACTTGCTGGGTTAACACTAACCTCCTGGGTGACTCTGTATCACACCACAGTGTAACCGGGCCATGCTGGTGGCTCCTCCCTGGGGAATTTGGGTGCTTGGTGCCCAGGGTTCATCTTTCCCAGAGGTAGAAAGTACTGGAACAGCTAGTGTGAAGGAACAAAATGGACACCGTGTAGAATCAAGCCCGTGGGTTTATTACGCACAGTGCTGGCGGAGTGTCACTTTGCTTATTAGGCTCAGAGACACTGCCAAACAATTGATTACCGTGAATTATATGGATTTTCCATGGGCAGAGGGAAATGACGGGGTAGGTGGTCCCAAGCCCCTGGATAGGTCTAGCAGCAAGACAAGATAAGCACAGTAGCCAATAGTCAAAGATTACATAATGTCTCCGCCCATGGTTTCAGGTTAACAAGTAACATACAATTAGTACACAGGTGTTTTTCTTTAAACAATATATAAAGTATATAATATATCTGTTGAATTCTGATTTGGGGTCCATAGGAATGAAGTAGCTCCTCTGATTGTCCAACAGGTATATACCTGGGGATTAAAGTAGAAAAACATTGAAAAGTACATGGCCATAGAAATTATGTTTCAAGTTGCTCATTTGCGTTTCCAAAGGCAGACACTGGTAGCTGGGGAGGGGAGGAGGATGCCATATCTCATACTGACATACTTGAACCTCTTCCATAAACTCAAGGTTGGTGTGTGGGGAGAGCATGGTTACCTCCATTGCAGAGGTGTATACACAGACCCAGACACAGGGCCTCTTTCATTCCTCTGGTCTGTCTGCATCTTCAGATAAGTGCCAATTACTGCTCCCCATCTGGCATTTTGCTGACCATGCATATCTCAGTAAAAGCAAGGTTGTCTTTTGTTTGTTCTGCTTCTCTTAGCCAATATAGTTCACTTTTTACTGGGCCTCTCGGCTGCTTGACCAAACTCTGGACTTTGAGCCTGTAGAAAGAGCTGACAGCCTATATCAGGTTTTTATGTAAACAGCACATGGATTTTAGCCCTTCACAGTGCAAACTTTATAGCCTTCCCCTACACTCATGGGTGGCTGGGCTTAAAGATGCCTCTAAACCAAGCACCTTCACCCCAAAAGGAGATGATTCCCTGACCCATTGCAGGGCGTGAACAGGCATCAAACAGCTCACTCTGAGCAGGGCCTTGTACCCTTACCTACCCCTATTTCTCCAGAGTTCAAAAGTCAAAATCCCCCTCAACTCTTCCTTTACATTAATATATTAATAGTGTCTAAACTGCATTGACAGTGATTTGCACTAGCTGGTGTGGGAATGGGGGGGCTCAGTGTTGTGGAGCTCCCTGTGCATATCCCCCATCCCAGAGCTCACTCCAGGCTCATCCATGCCCCCCTGCGGTCTCCCAAGAGCTGGGGCTGCCTCCTCTCTGTGTGATGAGGGCTGTTGCAGCTGCTGTGGTCTGGTGTAATTTCACTCTGTTGTGGCTGTGATGATGACTGTGCCAGTTTCAGGCAGCCCAGTGGCTCTGTGCAGGAGCGGCTCATGGGATGTTTTGATCTAGAACAGGAGTTCTAAAACTTCATTGCACCATGACCCCGTTCTGACATCAAAAATTACTACATGTCCCCAGGAGGGGGGACTGAAGTCCAAGCCCGCCTGAGCCCCACTGCTCTGGGTGTGGGGTTGAAGCCCCAGGGCTTCAGTCCCAGGTGGGGGGGGGGGGGGGGGCTGTAACCTGTGCCCCATTACCTAGCGCTGAAGCCCTCAGCAAGTCTAAGCCAGCCTGGTGACCCCATTAAAATGGGTTTGCAGCCCACTTTGGGGTCCTGACCCACAGTTTGAGAACAACTGATCTAGAAAGTTAAAATGTTTCATAGATTCATAGATATTTAGGTCAGAAGGGACCATTATGATCATTTAGTCTGACCTCCTGCACAATGCAGGCCACAGAATTCCACCCACCACTCCTGCGAAAAACCTATGTCTGAGCTATTGAAGTCCTCAAATCGTGGTTTAAAGACTTCAAGGAGCAGAGAATCCTCCAGCAAGTGACCAGTGCCCCATGCTACAGAGGAAGGCGAAAAACCTCCAGGGCCTCTTCCAACCTGCCCTGGAGGAACATTCCTTCCCGACCTCAAATATGGCGATCAGCTAAACCCTGAGCATATGGGCAAGATTCACCAGCCAGATACTACAGAAAATTCTTTCCTGGGTAACTCAGACCCGAACATCTAATATCCCATCACAGGCCATTGGGCCTATTTACCACGAATATTTAATTACCAAAACAATGTTATCCCATCATACCATCTCCTCCATAAACTTATCGAGTTTAATCTTAAAGCCAGATAGATCTTTTGCCCCCACTGTTTCCCTTGGAAGGCTATTCCAAAACTTCACTCCTCTGATGGTTAGAAACCTTCGTCTAATTTCAAGTCTAAACTTCCTGGTGGCCAGTTTATATCCATTTGTTCTTGTGTCCACATTGGTACTGAGCTTAAATAATTCCTCTACCTCTCCAGTATTTATCCCTCTGATATATTTATAGAGAGCAATCATACCTCCCCTCAACCTTCTTTTAGTTAGACTAAACAAGCCAAGCTCCTTGAGTCTCCTTTCATAAGACAAGTTTTCCATTCCTCGGATCATCCTAGTAGTCCTTCTCTGTACCTGTTCCAGTTTGAATTCATCCTTCTTAAACATGGGAGACCAGAACTGCACACAGTATTCCAGGTGAGGTCTCACCAGTGCCTTGTATAATGGTCTAAAACCTCCTTATCTCTACTGGAAATACCTCTCCTGATGCATCCCAAGACTGCATTAGCTTTTTTCACGGCCATATCGCACTGGCGGCTCATAGTCATCCTATGGTCAACCAATACTCCAAGGTCCTTCTCCTCCTCTGTTACTTCTAATTGATGTGTCCCCAGTTTATAACTAAAATTCTTGTTATTAATCCCTAAATGCATGACCTTACACTTATCACTATTAAATTTCATCCTATTACTATTACTCCAGTTTACAAGGTCATCCAGATCCTCCTGTAGGATATCCCTGTCCTTCTCTAAATTGGCAATACCTCCCAGCTTTGTATCATCCACAAACTTTATTAGCACACTCCCACTTTTTGTGCCAAGGTCAGTAATAAAAAGATTAAATAAGATTGGTCCCAAAACTGATCCTTGAGGAACTCCACTGGTAATCTCTCTCCAGCCTGACAGTTCACCTTTCAGTAGGACCCGTTGTAGTCTCCCCTTTAACCAATTCCTTATCCACCTTTCAATTTTCCTATTGATCCCCATCTTATCCAATTTAACTAATAATTCCCCATGTGGCATGGGATCAAACGCCTTACTGAAATCTAGGTAAATTAGATCCACTGCATTTCCTTTGTCTAAAAATTCTGTTACTTTCTCAAAGAAGGACATCAGGTTGGTTTGGCACAATCTACCTTTTGTAAAACCATGTTGTATTTTGTCCCATTTACCATTGACTTCAAAGTCCTTAATTACCTTCTCCTTCAAAATGTTTTCCAAGACCTAGCATACTACAGATGTCAAACTAACAGGCCTATAGTTACCTGGATCACTTTTTTTCCCTTTCTTAAAAATAGAAACTATGTTAGCAATTCTCCAATCATATGGTACAACCCCTGAGTTTAGATTCATTAAAAATTCTTGCTAATGGGCTTGCAATTTCATGTGCCAATTCCTTTAATATTCTTGGATAAAGATTATCTGGGCCCACCGATTTAGTCCCATTAAAATGTTTGAGTTTCGCTTCTACCTCAGATATGGTAATATGTACCTCCACATCCTCATTCCCATTTGTCATGCTACCATTATCCCGAAGATCCTCTTTAGTCTTATTAAAGACTGAGGCAAAGACTTTATTTTCTTTGTTTTCTTCTTATTTATATAGCTATAGAACCTTTTACTATTGGTTTTAATTCCCTTTGCAAGGTCCAACTCTACTTGACTTTTAGCCTGTCTCACTTTATCCCTACATGTTCTGACCTCAGTAAGGTAGCTTTCCTTGCTTATCCCTCCCTTCTTCCACTCACTGTACGCTTTCTGCTTTTTCTTAATCACCTCTCAGAGATGCTTGCTCATCCAGCTTGGTCTACAACTCCTGCCTATGAATTTTTTCACCTTTCTTGGGATGCAGGCTTCCAATAGCTTCTGCAGTTTTGATTTAAAATAATCCCAGGCCTCCTCTACCTTTAGATCCATAAATTCTTCAGTCCAATCCACTTCCCTAACTAATTTCCTTAATTTTTGAAAATCAGCCCTTTTGAAATCAAAAACCCCTAGTTGCAGATAATCCTTCCGTTCAGTTTGAACTGAATTAGTTCATGATCACTTGAGCCAAGATTGTCCCCTACAACCATTTCTTCTATGAGGTTCTCACTATTCACCAAAACCAAATCTAAAATGGCATCCCCTCTAGTCAGTTCAGCAACTACTTGATAAAGGAATCCATCAGCTATCGCATCTAGGAACATCTGAGCCCTATTATTATTATTAGCACTCGTCCTCCAGTCTATATCTGGGACGTTAAAGGCTCCCATGATCACACAGTTTCCATTAGTATTTACTTCATTAAAAACATTAAAGAGGGCTCTATCCATATCCAAATTAGATCCTGGCGGTCTACAGAACACCCCAAGCACTATCCCAGGGGAGGCTCTAATAGTTTTCTTACCCAATGTAATTTTTGCCCAGACAGACTCTGTCTTATCCATTCCATCGCTTCTTATTTCTTTACATTCTACCTCATCATTGATAGACAATGCTACTCCACCACCTTTACCTTTATTTCGGTCTTTCCTAAACAGCACATACCCTTCAATACCTGTAGTCCAGTCATGACGACTATTCCACCCTGTTTCTGTTATCCCTAGAATATCTGGTTTCACTTCCTGCACCAGTAGCTCTAGTTCCTCCATTTTGTTACCTAGGCTCCTCGCATTGGTGTACAAACATCTTCATTTTTGCTGTTTGGCCTCGCTCACGTTCTGTACCCAATGAGGCATAGTCATTCTACAGCCAGTAGAACCTATTAGACTGGTATCTACACTGCCCTTCCTCCTTATATACATTCTCCCACCCATGGCTGTATCCTCTCTTACTTCGTTTTCTTCCCTCTCAATGCTAAAATCCGGCGTGGAGATTACCTGGGCATCTCCCAACCATCTCCCCCCAGATTCCTAGTTTAAAGCTCTCTTAATCAGTTGTGCCAGCCTCCATCTTAGAAGTCCATTTCCTTCCCTACTCAGATGAAGTCCATCCCGAGAGAACTGTCCTCTGTCCATGAATGCCTCCCAGTGGCCACACATCCCAAAGCCCTCCTTATAGCACCACTGTCTGAGCCATCTGTTGATAGTCATAATCTTGTCACACCTTTGTTGCCCTTCTCTAGGAACAGGCAGAATCCCCCTAAAGATCACTTGAGCCTCGATTTCCTTAAGCGTCTTCCCCAGCCTAGCATAGTCTCCCTTAATACTTTCCAGCGAGAATCTAGCCATATCATTTGTTCCCACATGAAGGATAATTAGGGGATTATTTCCCGCTCCCTTTAGGATCCTTTTTTCAACCTCAGGTCTACATCCCGTATCTTAGCACCTGGAAGACAGCACACCCTCCTGTTCTCTGGATCAGCTCTGGTTACAGGCCTGACTATTCTTCTCAGTAAAGAGTCCCCAATCACATAGACCTGCCTTTTCCTGGTGACGGTGCTACTCTCCAGTCTATCCCCTGTTCCCTCTGGCTGCAAGTTCTTTCCATTCCTATTCTTCCTTGTAATCCTCTTCAACCCATCCTGTATCCTCCTGCGGCTCAGATTTGGTGTAGTCTCCATTGACTCTTCCCCTTTTCCTATAGGACTAGCTGCTCTTCTCTTCTTCCTTGCCCTTCCACCTTCAGTGATTACCTGCTGAGCCCCTTTTTCATTTTCCAACTCTGCAAACCTATTCTTGAGCTCTATTTCTCCTTTACTAGCCCGTCTTTTCCTCTGCCTGGTTCTTTTAGTCACATGCTTCCACTGACCACTTCCCTCACCCAGTCTCCCCTCAGAATTCCCCAGTCCTGCTTCCATCTGCAAGTCTGAGCTTTTCCCTTCAGATACCTCATGTCTTTGCTCCATAATCTGCTCAAACCCCTTTCTAAACTCAACCAGACTTTCCACCTGCATCTCCAAACCTCGGATCTTTTCCTCCATCAGCTCTAGCAGACGGCATTTCATGCAGACAAAACTCTTACCAGGTGCCCCCTCCAGGATCATGGACATACCACAGCTTCCACATCCAGTCATCTCCATTGTGTCTTCCACGACATGGGTCACTCCCACTGCTGCCTCTGTGTCTGTCATACCCTTCCCACCTAAACCCTGTTCATCTGGGAAACACAAACCACACCCAAAACCCCACCCCCCACAGCAAAGCCAAACCCCCAACAAGCACCACAAGACAAACTCCCCTTGCAAACTCCCCCTCAGATTCCCCTGTTTACAGCTCTGCTTGCTGGCTCCTGGACTGCTGCAGCTATCTGGGCCGCTGGCTGGCTGGCTCCCTTTTAGGGCCCCTGGTACCTAAGTAGCAGCTGCCCTTAATGATTTTATAAAAGAGAATGTTTTACATAGTCTATTCTGATATGCCAGTAGTAGCCGTGAAATACAAGAAATCATGTAAAAATAATCTACTAAAATAACTAAATGAAATTTCAAAATTGTTATATTTTCTAAAATGATTTTTTTTCTTTTTTAAAAAATTCTCTCTCATTGGCAGTTTAAAAAAAATTATTTTCATTCTGAATTGGATAAAAAGCAAATTTCAACATGTTAAAATTCCCCATAAAATAGAAATTCAAGATTTAGACCAGATCTCCCCATAATTCCTGCCTCCCAGCCCCCCTTATAACAAGGCTTTCACTTTCATTATCACAGCCAATGCTGGTCAAACTATAATGCAATTAAGACAGTTTAATAGAGCCTGATGAAGAAACCAGGGATAGTCTGTTCTCTGTTTGTACAGCGCCTAGCGCAATGGGACCCTGGTTCATGCCCATGGCCACTATGGTAAACATAGGATAAATGACAGTTCTGTGGGCAGAGGGATCTTGAATGCTGGGAGTGGGGTGTGAAGCGTCCTGGAGCCCGCAGAGGACAGCAACAACCTCCTGACAGACCTGTACTCCAGCTCCTATCTCCGGGGTCATTAGTCGTGTATTGGAAAATGCACAAAGAGCAGGACTGACCTGCCTCTCTACCACAGTGTGATCCTCACACAGAAACTCCAGCTCTGGCACAACACTTCACAGGGAAGCTGTATTTTCTGGGGGAAAATTAGCTAAATATAGGGTTAAAAACCAATCATTTCTTAAAAGGGCCCCTCGTGTCTCACTTTCCTAACCTAGCCTTTCTCAAAGGCCAGATGAGATTATCAGAATGGGGCCTTCTGTCCTTAACATCTTGGAATTGGGGGAAGGTGCAAAGTTGAAATGTTAGTAGCCACTTCTTCATTCTAACCCTAATTGGGCCACATTGATCTGTATTTATTTATTTATTTATTTTAATATGACGCTAAATAGCGTGAAGGGGGCAACCTGCATTCATCACCTAAGTGGCCATCAAGGTCAGCAGTGAGAATATTTAGAGCTGACCCCAGCAATCTCTTCCATCAGCACTGGTTTGGTTTCGGCCATTTTCTAGTAGGGATCTATGAGGAGAGAGGACCAATGACTCCCAAAGCGTGTTTACAAAGGACTGGCACTACACAGAGCAGCCAAAGGCTTCAGGGGTCTATAAGATCGCCAGCAAAGAACATAGACTGAACTTCCTGTGAAATCATCTGCAGGACTGAGCTGGAGATCGATACGGCTGGTGCTCAGTCTGCAAGGAGGCTACGGCCCTGTGGGATTTGCCTTGGGGAAGTTTAGCTAGTACCCCACGACTCAGTGGGAAATTGATCCAAGACAGTAATTCATTATTCTACACAAAGGGAAGACAATAGGTATCGCATGGCTGGCTACTTCCATTTTCTGGTGCTCTCAGCCTGGCTCAGCACAGCCAGTCTGCTGGTGTAGGGTGTGTCCACACTAGACAACAGGTGTTTCTCACAGCCCTGGTCTACACTAGGACTTTAGGTCGAATTTAGCAGCGTTAAATCGATTTAAACCTGCACCCGTCCACACAATGAAGCCCTTTATTTCGACTTAAAGGGCTCTTAAAATCGATTTCCTTACTCCACCCCTGACAAGTGGATTAGCGCTTAAATCGACGTTGCCGGCTCGAATTTGGGGTACTGTGGACACAATTCGATGGTATTGGCCTCCGGGAGCTATCCCAGAGTGCTCCATTCTGACCGCTCTGGACAGCGCTACTCAGATGCACTGGCCAGGTAGACAGGAAAAGAACCGCGAACTTTTGAATCTCATTTCCTGTTTGGCCAGCGTGGCAAGCTGCAGGTGACCATGCAGAGCTCATCAGCACAGGTGACCATGATGGAGTCCCAGAATCGCAAAAGAGCTCCAGCATGGACCGAACGGGAGGTACGGGATCTGATCGCTGTTTGGGGAGAGGAATCCGTGCTATCAGAACTCCGTTCCAGTTTTCGAAATGCCAAAACCTTTGTGAAAATCTCCCAGGGCATGAAGGACAGAGGCCATAACAGGGACCCGAAGCAGTGCCGCGTGAAACTGAAGGAGCTGAGGCAAGCCTACCAGAAAACCAGAGAGGCGAACAGCCGCTCTGGGTCAGAGCCCCAAACATGCCGCTTCTATGATGAGCTGCATGCCATTTTAGGGGGTTCAGCCACCACTACCTCAGGCGTGTTGTTTGACTCCTTCAATGGAGATGGAGGCAATACGGAAGTAGGTTTTGGGGACGAAGAAGATGATGATGAGGAGGTTGTAGATAGCTCACAGCAAGCAAGCGGAGAAACCGGTTTTCCCGACAGCCAGGAACTGTTTCTCACCCTAGACCTGGAGCCAGTACCCCCCGAACCCACCCAAGGCTGCCTCCTGGACTCAGCAGGCGGAGAAGGGACCTCTGGTGAGTGTACCTTTTAAAATGCTATACATGGTTTAAAAGCAAGCATGTGAAAGGATTACTTTACCTTGGCATTTGCGGTTCTGCCTTTGCAAAAGGTTTCTGGGGAGGGCAGCCTTATTTTGTCCTTCATGGTAGGACACTTTACCACTCCAGGCCAGTAACACGTACTCGGGAATCACTGTAGAACAAAGCATTGCAGTGTATGTTTGCTGGCATTCAACCAAAATCCGTTCACGCGGTGGGAGGAGGCAAAATGCGACCTTGTAAAGAAAGCACATGTGCTATGTATGTAATGTTAACAGCAAGGTTTACCCTGAAAGAGTGTAGCGACTGTTTTATAAAATGTGTCTTTTTAAATACCGCTGTCCCTTTTTTTTTCTCCACCAGCTGCATGTGTTTCAATGATCACAGGATCTTCTCCTTCCCAGAGGCTAGTGAAGCTTAGAAAGAAAAAAAAACGCACTCGAGATGAAATGTTCTCCGAGCTCATGCTGTCCTCCCACACTGACAGAGCACAGACGAATGCGTGGAGGCAAATAATGTCAGAGTGCAGGAAAGCACAAAATGACCGGGAGGAGAGGTGGAGGGCTGAAGAGAGTAAGTGGCGGGCTGAAGACAGGGCTGAAGCTCAAATGTGGCGGCAGCGTGATGAGAGGAGGCAGGATTCAATGCTGAGGCTGCTGCAGGACCAAACCAGTATGCTCCAGTGTATGGTTGAGCTGCAGCAAAGGCAGCTGGAGCACAGACTGCCACTGCAGCCCCTCTGTAACCAACCGCCCTCCTCCCCAAGTTCCATAGCCTCCACACCCAGACGCCCAAGAACGCGGTGGGGGGGCCTCCGGCCAACCAGCCACTCCACCACAGAGGATTGCCCAAAAAAAAGAAGGCTGTCATTCAATAAATTTTAAAGTTGTAAACTTTTAAAGTGCTGTGCTTAAAGTGCTGTGTGGCATTTTCCTTCCCCCTCCACCACCCCTCCTGGGATACCTTGGTAGTCATCCCCCTATTTGTGTGATGAATGAATAACGAATGCATGAATGTGAAGCAACAATAACTTTATTGGCTCTGCAAGCGGTGATCGAAGGGAGGAGGGGAGGGTGGTTAGCTTACAGGGAAGTAGAGTGAACCAAGGGGCGGGGGGGTTCATCAAGGAGAAACAAACAGAACTTTCACACCGTAGCCTGGCCAGTCATGAAACTGTTTTTCAAAGCTTCTCTGATGCGTACCGCGCCCTCCTGTGCTCTTCTAACCGCCCTGGTGTCTGGATGCGCGTAACCAGCAGCCAGGCGATTTGCCTCAACCTCCCACCCCGCCATAAACATCTCCCCCTTACTCTCACAGATATTGTGGAGCACACAGCAAGCAGTAATAACAGTGGGAATATTGGTTTCGCTGAGGTCTAAGCGAGTCAGTAAACTGCGCCAGCGCGCCTTTAAACGTCCAAATGCACATTCTACCACCATTCTGCACTTGCTCAGCCTGTAGTTGAACAGCTCCTGACCACTGTCCAGGCTGCCTGTGTATGGCTTCATGAGCCATGGCATTAAGGGGTAGGCTGGGTCCCCAAGGATACATATAGGCATTTCAACATCCCCAACAGTTATTTTCTGGTCTGGGAATAAAGTCCCTTCCTGCAGCTTTTGAAACAGACCAGAGTTCCTGAAGATGCGAGCATCATGCACCTTTCCCGGCCATCCCACGTTGATGTTGGTGAAACGTCCCTTGTGATCCAACAGAGCTTGCAGCACTATCGAAAAGTACCCCTTGCGGTTTATGTACTCGGCGGCTTGGTGCTCCGGTGCCAAGATAGGGATATGGGTTCCGTCTATGGCCCCACCACAGTTAGGGAATCCCATTGCAGCAAAGCCATCCACTATGACCTGCACATTTCCCAGGGTCACTACCCTTGATATCAGCAGATCTTTGATTGCGTGGGCTACTTGCATCACAGCAGCCCCCACAGTAGATTTGTCCACTCCAAATTGATTCCCAACTGACCGGTAGCTGTCTGGCGTTGCAAGCTTCCACAGGGCTATCGCCACTCGCTTCTCAACTGTGAGGGCTGCTCTCATCTTGGTATTCATGCGCTTCAGGGCAGGGGAAAGCAAGTCACAAAGTTCCATGAAAGTGCCCTTACGCATGCGAAAGTTTCGTAGCCACTGGGAATCGTCCCAGACCTGCAACACTATGCGGTCCCACCAGTCTGTGCTTGTTTCCCGAGCCCAGAATCGGCGTTCCACAGCATGAACCTGCCCCATTAGCACCATGATGCATGCATTGTCAGGGCCCATGCTTTCAGAGAAATCTGTGTCCATGTCCTGATCACTCACGGGACCGCGCTGACGTCGCCTCCTCGCCCGGTATCGCGTTGCCATGTTCTGGTGCTGCATATACTGCTGAATAATGCGTGTGGTGGTTAATGTGCTCCTAATTGCCAAAGTGAGCTGAGCGGGCTCCATGCTTGCCGTGGTATGGCGTCCGCACAGAAAAAAGGCGCGGAACGATTGTCTGCCCTTGCTTTCACGGGGGGAGGGAGGGAACGGGGGGCTGACGATATGTACCCAGAACCACCCGCGACAATGTTTTAGCCCCATCAGGCATTGGGATCTCAACCCAGAATTCCAATGGGCAGCGGAGACTGCAGGAACTGTGGGATAGCTACCCACAGTGCAACGCTCCGGAAGTCGACGTTTGCCTCGGTACTGTGGAAGCGCTCCGCCGAGTTAATGCACTTAATGCACTTAGAGCATTTTCTGTGGGGACACACACACTCGAATTTATAAAACCGATTTCTAAAAAACCGACTTCTATAAATTCGACCTTATTCCGTAGTGTAGACATACCCACAGTGTGTCAGGGAACATGGGCTAAAATCCTAGTGAAGACAAGGCCATGTGTAATCTCCACTCACGTTAACAGGTCAAGGGACAGCCTAGCGGGGAGCCTTGTCTTTAACTTGACCTGCTAACTCGTGTTAAACTGACACCTACCTCATCTTCACTCAGATGTTAGCTCCTGTTAGTCACTGTGTTTGGTGTAAGACATGGCAGGAAAACAGCTCTTCTCCTGGTACAGACAAGGCCCTAGGGAGGCAGGCTCAGCACCGTGGGAGGGGGCACTGGGACACAGGGGTCCATGGGCTGTGAGATGGGGAGAAGGGGGAGCTGTCTGAGGCCAGTGAGAGGAACCCGTGATCTGGGTGGTTTCCTGGCGGGGAAGCTGTGGGAACCTCTCAGCCGGCAATTACTCTCCCCATGTAGGTTTCCGTATGCTCCCCCTCCCCCACACATCGGGGGAGGGGAAGTCATGCAGCTGACGCTGTGTGGGTGCATCAGTGAACAGCTCTGCACCCCCCCTTGGCTCCCCCAGACAGGGAACTAGCTACAGCTCTCCAGGGGCTCCCCCAGCGCAGGGCACTGGAGGCTCTGATGGCGGGTGGGGGAAAGGGGAACATGAACGGGGGCATGGATGGATGAGGGGGCTGACCGGCTCGTCCGTCACAGATTGACAGGCTCTGTGCTCTGCTCTGCCTTTAAACAGGCTCCTGGGAGTGACCAGGCCCCAAGATTCATGCTGACCCACAAGGACAGGCCTTGTAGCCTGAATGACTCTGGGACTGGGCCTTTGGCCTCCAGCACCTCCTGCTTCCCACCGTTTACACCTACAGCAAATCCACCTGTGTTTAGATTCCTGCGCAGACTTTACCACCCAGATCCGCAGTGATGTTTCAGCTCCCAGCTCCTGTTTATTTCAATGAGAACAAGGCACCTAAATCCCCTTGAGGTTCTGGACCCACTGTCTTAGGAACCTAGTCAGTATTCTGCAAAGAAGCCTTTGAGAACAAAGGAGCATTTATTAATCCCCTGGAATCCAGCAGGAGAAGGTTTGTAGGTTAGTGTGGCAAAGGGACGCTCAAGGCAGAGTCCATATGGGTAGGAGCAAGGCCCCAAGAGACCAGGCAGTTCTCAGCTCCATCTTCACTCTCTTTGTGTGTCTGCAGCAGCCGCATTAAGACTTGTCTCCTCACACCTGTCCTTCCTTTAGCTCCAGGTGCAGCCTTTTCACTTTGCTTTTCTGCAGAGTTGGGGGAAGTCACCTGCTCTGAGACGGCGTCTACACCTAAAATTTAGATCAACCCAAGCTTCTGAAGCATTCATGGCCTGTGTGACAGATAGGCTGACCTAACCCCCACTGAAGGCACCTAGGTCAATGAAAGAAAAAGACCCTGTAAACCTGTAGCTGCTAATGGTGTAGACATGCCCTTAGTTCCAGTAGTTCTTAAAAACAATCATACCCTGGGCTGCTCCCCTTGCCCAGGCATTGCCCAGCTCTGTCCCAGCAGTGACCCGAGTTTCTTTGAAAAGGCAGAGGCCCTTGATATGCTCCACAACTGTGCTGATGACTCAAAGATCTACCTCTGCTCGTGACCTGTCTCCTTCTCTCCAGATGAAAATCTCGGCCTATGTCTCTGTCTGCTTGTGGATGTCTCATCATTGTCTCAAGATAAATGTGGCAAAAACAGAGCTCCTAATCTACCCCCACCTCCCGCCCCTAGTTCTCCCTGCTACCGCCTTTCTCAATCACTATGGACACCACCAGCCTCTTACCTGTCACTCAGGCCCATAACTTGGGTGTCATTTTGGTCTCAGACCTCTCTGTAGGTTCTCACATTGACGTTCTGTCGAAATCTTGCTGAGTCTTTAAGAATTCTCAGCTCACCACGACAGCTGTAACTCCCATCCCCCATGCTGCCCCCCACACTTGGCAGAAGCCCCCATCAACACCCGCACGGCTACCTTATTAGCCTCCTTCAAATCCCTCCAAGGTGTCTGCAAAAAACCTGACTATGGTGAGTTGCTGGTGTCCTGTTATCACAGCTGATCGTGCTGACCAGTGTTGTCCCATTGCTTCCTTGTGCTCCTCTGTCTGTCTCCATCTATTGTTTCTTGAATTAGTGTCGTGCCCCCTCCCCACCCGGTTACCTTCTTTCATGCTAATCTGTGAACAGTTTTGATGGACAGGTCTGGGTTCTTCTGGATCCTGCCACCCACCCAGCAGGGTGCATCTTCTTTATGTTTCCCTATGAATGTATTTGGCGGTGGCTCCAGCACTCTTACTCCTTCCTGGCAGGGTCCCCAGGGTGGCTTGGGAGGAAAATGCCAACCACAGGGTAACCCCCACTTACTTGCCAGAAAGTTGGAGACTTCCAAGAAATCACACAAATACATAGAATATACTCAACACAGTAATTATATTAAACAGGAGACAAATATAACATAACCGGGTAAAACACTATTCTTCGTGCCCACACTGACAATACCCGTGACTTTCCCCAGTCACATGACCTGATGGAGGAAATGTAAGAATAGTGTCCCGTTGGTATGCGTACTTTGTTGGGGCCCTTGATGACCTATGATCACGATATCTTCTCTGCAGTTGTTTAGCAGGGTGGCTGACTGGGTTCAGTACAGCCCAAAGGACTCACAAGTGGGAGGAGGTGGTAAGTCCCTCCATAGGTTTAATATGCAGCTGGTGATAAAATCCCCAAACCCATACTCCCTGGCTTGAGGACACAGTTCAAGGAGTAGGGGGTCCCCGAAACAAATTCCCGGACTGACTAACTAAAAGATGGTGCATTCACAAACTCCATGAATGATCCTTGGATTCAGAGATGACTCTGGACTCCTCGGTCACGGCCCAGGGGCTGATCTCTGCTGACAGGGTCTCTTCAGGCCCGAGTCAGGCGGCTTTGTCCCGGGATTTCCCCTCACCACCCAGGGGTGCAGGGCTCAAGGTGCAGATTACAGAGCTGGACTAAACTCCAAACTGTCGTCTCCTAGCCGAGCGTCCAGACACACTCCCTGCAGGCCAGCCCTGGACTAGCAGCCAGAGCAGAGCTGGCCATGTGGTGACTGGTCTCCCCTAGGGAGCTGGGGGCGAACTCAGCCTGGCTGGGGAA